TCTGGATTCAGTTTTGGGCCTTTCTGGCTTGAGGGCGATCCCACGGCGAATTTAACGCAACTACTCTAGGACAGGGGGTGACTGACTTGTCCGCTGTGGACGATTGGCAAGGGCTTCGGGTTTGGATGCTGCGTGTGAACCCGACTTTCTCCAGATTTCAGCTGACAGGTACCGAGTTCTTCAAGTGCCCTAAACCCCAAACCCCAAACCCCACACCCTAAACCCTGGTAGAGACATGTTATTTCGTTTTTCGGAGCTCAGGGTTAACGTTTCGTTTTTTTTTAGTTCCTTTGAAGGCTCTAAGTAGCTCGAAGCATCTACGTGCTCTATGCAAGCTGTTCAAAATGTCCATTCACAACATAACCATCTCCATAGGCAATGACCCCAGGCTCCTCGACCTGGGTCTAGGGTTTAAGGTTTGGGCCTTATGTTTTGGGGTTTAGGTCTTAGATTTACGGGTTTAGGGTTTAGGGTTTAGGCCTTAGGGTTTAGAGGGCTTAGGGCTTAGATTTAAGGGTTTGCAGACCCTCGAGGTGGTGTGGGGATCGGCAGGTCCATTGTGCCCATGCTCCAGTCAGCTAATGAGCTCGACAGGATCCTCGTCCAGCTAAGAGAGCTCTAGAGGGTTTAGGGTTTAGGGCTTAGGGCTTAGGGTTTAGGGTTTAGGGTTTAGGGTCTATGGTTTAGGGTTTTGGAGAGCACCTCTGCCAAAAAAAAGCAAAAAGCAAAGGCTGCAGCACCGGATCTTGCGACGCCTGCTGCCAGCAAAACAGCACTCCCACATCCTGGACGGCATCGCACAGCGCGGACTTGAGTGAGGGCGACCAAGTGCAGCTGGATGATGCCCATTTCATCTGCATGATGACAGGAAACAGGATTCGTGTCATTGCCAGCCTTGAGCTACAAGCCCAGATGCGGGTTTAAGTTTTAGGGTGTTAGGGTGTTAGGGGGGTGGGGTGTTAGTGCTTAGGGTGTTTGGGCGTTAGGGTGTTAGGATTTAGAGTGTTATGATATGGTGTTAGGGTATAGGGTGCTAGGGTTTAGGGATTGGGGTTTCGGGTTTAGGGTTTAGGGTTTAGGGTGTAGGGTGTAGCGTGTCAGGGTTGAGGGTGGGTTGGAGGACTGCGACCACCTATGAGTCTGAGGAGGAGCACCGGCAGCGTTTTCAAGGCCCTTTGGAAGCGTGTGGGCCGTGTGGGTTGAGATTGGGAGGCTTAGGGGGGGTTTCGGGTTTAGGGTTTAGGGTTTTGGGTTTAAGGTTTAGGGATTCGGGAATCGGGTTTAGGGGTAGGCCAGTGGCATCCTCTTTGCCCTTTTCTTGGTTCAAGGTTCCCTTTCAAGAGTAACCAACCCAAAAGGGATACCCCTATCGGGATATGGTTACGGACTTAGCAAGGAGTGATGCCCGGCATGAACCCTAGACCCTCTTTCGGCCCTAAACTCGAACCCCGACATGTCAATGTTGAAGGGCAAGCTTTAAACTCGACGCAGCTTCAATTCTTGAAGTTGAAGTTTGTTCTGTCTTTGACACTTGAAGGCGGGTAGGGTTCTTCTCCTACAATCCTACCACCCTTTTTGTACCCCTGAAGGCATAGTGACTTCATAGACGCTCTCTCTCTCTCTCTATTTATATATGCCATCATATACCCCTTGATATACCGTTATTTCCCATGATATTCTGTACCCCTTGTACACTTACAGACCCTCAAGTCATAGAAGCCTTGGACTACCTGGAAGTTCCCACACCGCAGTTTTGCACACTGAGACCTTGAACTTGAACCCTCAACCCCAAACTCTAAGCCCCAAACCCCAAACCCTAAGCCCTAAACCCTAACCCCTAACCCTAAACCCCAAACCCCTAACCCTAAACCCCAAACCCTAAACCCTAAACCCGAAACCCTAAACCCCAAACCCTAAACCCTAAACCCCAAACCCTAAACCCTAAACCCTAAACCCTGCAGGCTCCGCTGAGCGCTGCGAGGCACTGCAGTGTGCAGGCCTTCAAAGACCCTCCTGCCGAGGAAAGGATGCCTCATCGGGTGTTTTAGGGTTTAGGGTTTAGGGTTTAGGGTTTAGGGTTTAGGGTTTAGGGTTTAGGGTTAGGGTTTAGGGTTTAGGGTTTCTGGAGTCTCAGTTCCTGAGTGTTTTTTTTCGGGGGGGGAGGGGGGGGGGGAGGGCCAGAATAAATGCAACGTGCAAGCACGCAGGCCCCCGAAACCCTAAGAAGCCGTACAACTTCACGGCCTGCTCAACGGTTCACAAGTGCGTTTCAGGTTTAGGGCTGTGAGCGATGAGAGCCACTGCGCACCTTGCCTACTGTGCAGGTCTGGGTCGAGGCCTGCTTGGACTTACAAGCATCTTACAGTACATATAACTAGGACCGGGAGTACACCCCTTTTTTCCTTTTTTTGGGTGTTGGGGTTCCCTTATAAGCCCCTTCAGACCTTTTATTCCTAGGTTACTCCCGGGTCTAGAGAACCCCCACCTTTGAAAAACCATGAAGTGTCAAGCAAGGCGGTCTATGCCTTTTAGCCTTGGACCCTATACTTATATGTAACCAACCCATGACCGACCCTAAACCCTTAAACCCTATACCCTACAAACCCTAAACCCTAAACCCCATAAACCCGATAAACCCGATAAACCCTATAAACCCCGAAACCCTAACTTGAAGCAATCTGCCAGGTGTCGCCGTGGCGCATGGTGTTGACGCGACAAACCTTGCCGGCAGCTTGCCCAACGCTCCCCGGAGCGAAGAGCAAGTCTTCCCCATTCTTGTTGTGAGCGAGTCAGGGTGAAGGGTTTTTGGGGTTTAGGGTTTAGGGTTTGGGATCTCAGGCTTAGGGTTAAGGTTTAAAGCCTAAGCTCCAGGCATTAGCGCCGAACTTAAGTCGGACAGCACATGGCCTCCAGTTGTCCTCAACACCTGCGTCTGGCCGAGACCTTGCGGGTTCTCTAGTAGCCGAATCAAGAAAGCGTCGGGCCACACCTTTATAAGGAATCTAAGGGGCCATTTTAGGGGCATGTTAAGGGAACCTCCGATTTAGGCTTGGATTTTTTTTTTCAGGGTCTAGGGTTTAAGGAGCCCAATGCCCCAGAACATGGAACACCAAACCCCAAACCCTTCGAATCGGTAAGTATATTGGCAACAAAAGCCAAAGAAGTCCGAGGTTTCACCCTGTTGGAAATTCCCTAAACCTAACAGCGTCTTTGCCACGATTGCTTTTCTACGACAATCATCTGCGGGAATTGTTTCAGAAGGTTTGGAAGGTTCACTTAGGTTCTAAACCTTAAACCCTAAACCCCTAAACCCCTAAACCCCAAACCCCAAACCCCAAACCCCTAAACCCCTAAACCCTAAACCCTAAACCCTAAACCCCTAAACCCCTAAACCCCTAACCCCTAAACCCTAAACCCCAAACCCCAAACCCCAAGGACATCGTCCGGCCGTTTGACCGGATCATCTTCCAGTTTCCGTAGCTTGGGCGTTGCTTTCAGACGGCCCAGAACTCTAAGCGCTAAGGGTTTAGGGTTTAGGGTTTAGGGTTTAGGGTTTAGGGCATGGACGGGGGAATTTTCGGATACCAGGTTACTCTAGGTTACTCTAGGTTACCCTCAACCCTGAAGCCTAAACTCTTCTCCATCACAGGTCCCAACTAACCTCCAACAGCCCTTGAGCCGAAGAAAGAGCCTCCAAGAGCGCCGAAGCTGAACAGGGTTTAGGGTTTAGGGTTTAGGGTTTAGGGTTTAGGGTTTAGGGTTTAGGGTTTAGGGTTTAGGGTTTGGGGAGCCTCCCGCCACCAAAGCACTGAAACCCTAAACCTTAAGCCTTAACGCCCTAAAGCCCTGAAACCCTGTAGACCTAAGGCCTTAAAGCCGCAAAGCCCTGAAACCCACCCCCAAAACCGGTTTAGGGTTTAGGATTTAGGGTTCAGGGTTTCGTGTTTAGGGTTTAGGGTTTAGCCCACCCCCAAAACCCTTAAGCTTTAACCTGGCTCGCGCAAAGGGAGACGTACCCAATACGTTTAGGGCAATCTGATTTTTGAAGGGTACATGTGGTCAGTTCTCTAAATCTTGGTCCTTTTCGGGATACCCTAAATACCCTAAAATTTGGGGCTGCCGCATCATCAGGAACTGAAAAGGGGGCCATGATTTACCATATATATATATATGCTACCATATATATGTGTTGCTCAAGGTTTGGACTTAGTTGGGTTGAGGAGGCAAGTACTTCTCTGTGAGGGTACGGAACAAGGATGACGACATGCTAGACCCTAGACCCTGAAGGTTCAGGGTTTAGGGTTTAGGGTTTAGGGTTTAGGGTTTAGGGTTTAGGGTTTAGGGTTTGTATATGCAGGATTATATCTGGGCTGAGTGTAGTTCACGATACGCATAACCTTGTGTATACATGCCCATGAGCATTCAGTAGACCCTAGACCCCTTCATCAGGCAGCATCCGTCGCGCAGCAAGATACAGCTCCACCGTGACGCCCGGCTGCAATAAGCGAACTGCAGAAACTACACCCTAAACCCTAAACCCTAAACCCTAAACCCTAAACCCTAAACCCTAAACCCTAAACCCTAAACCCTAAACCCTAAACCCTACCCCGTATTTAGAGAAATGACCATAGTAACGGCAGTGCATGGATGCGCCTCCCCCGGTTGCCTGTTTGCTGCATCGTCCCCCATATGTCCTCTTTACGGGGGTTTCCGAAAATAGGGGGTGCCCTTCTTGAGCGTTCCTTCAAGGGGATTCTATTCTATTTGTGGTATAAAAGCGGTGCCCAGGGTACCCGTATTTTGGGAAATACCCATATCGTCTTCATGAAAAGCTACAGAAAAATCCTCTGTCGAATAATTCGAACTACCCCAAACACCCAGGCAGGTTTTCAGATGAGATACAGATCAGATGTTCAAGTTTGTGCTAAACACCAATTTGTTCAACTAGACCCCTTTACGTGGCTGAGGAGCCTTTGAACACGCATAGGGCTCTCATAGCCATGTCATCAGTTGCCGTGCACGTGGCTTTGCTGAGTGGTGAGCAGGCTACCATTGTTCTGCCGTGGCTCGCTACGATTGAAGAGCTGCGCCAAATGGCCCAGAAGGAGGTCAGCAAGAGCCTCGGGAAACTCGTTAGCAGCTCAGGCGCCATCCTGCTGTCATCAGACACACTCCGGCAAGCAGGCGTTCAAGCTAACGATGTCATCACAGCTGTCGTTCAGGACGTGGTGATAGCAGCAACGCTGCATGCATTTGCAGCCATCCGCAGCAGTGGCACCGTAGTGGCGTGGGGAGACGCGGGCGCCGGCGGTGAATGCAGTGCAGTTCAGCATCAGCTGCAGAATGTGCAACAGATCCAGTCGTCGGCGTTTGCCTTCGCTGCTCTCCGGGCTGATGGTTCTGCTGTAACCTGGGGGAGGCGTGATAGTGGGGGGTGACAGTTCCATGGTACAGACCCAGCTCCACAGTGTCTGCCAGATCCAGGCCAGCTTCCGATCGTTTAGGGTTTAGGGTTTAGGGTTTAGGGTTTAGGAGACCCCGAGACAGGTGGCGATTACGGTGCGGTGAGCGATCAGCTGCATGATGTGCAGTATATCCAAGCAAGCGGCTGGGCTTTGCAGCCATACGACCGGGGCGACAGGTGGTGACATGGGGCCATCGTGCTTTTGGGGTGGACAGCTCGAAAGTTCGCAATAGCTTGCAAGACGTTCCACAGGTCTACAACGCCGGGTGGGGCTTCGCAGCCATCAAAGCCGGCGGCCGGGTTGTGTTCTGGGGCTTGACGGGAGATGATCTAGGTGAGCAACCTACTGGGCTTGACAGCATTGATTTCTTCCAGGCGGGTGGTAAATATTGGGCTGCTGCCACAAAAGACGGGCACTTGGCTCTTAGCTTTGAGTCAGTCAGCGGCCATGGGAGCTGGTATGATGCGCCTTGATAAGGCCATCGCTGTGGTTCAACCGGATGGAACGGTGCGAGACTGGGGTCGCTCCATCCCCAAATGGCTTAGCAGTGGACTAAGGAACGTCGTCCGACTGCAAGCGGCATCGGCGTGGGGGCCTTACGCCGCAATCCGTTCAGACGGGTCTGTCGTGACATGGGACCAAGACTTCAAGCAGGCAGCAAGCAAGGCTGTGCAGGCCCAGGTGATAGACGTTAGAAACATACAAGCAACTGAGAACGCCTATGCCGCGCTTCGAGGGGATGGGTTGGTGGAGACTTGGGGGCAAGCTGACTGGGGCGGCGACAGTGACGCGGTGCAGGGACAGTTGAAGGACGTTGTCTCCCCACAGACTCCAAAACCCCTTAATAGGGGAATATCCCTTAAAATATGATAGGAACCCTAATATGATTTAAGGTATATTCCTTAATTAAGGGGTTTTGGAGTCTCTGGGTCCCTTCAGGCGACTTGTGCCGCCTTTTCCGCGGTCCATTCTGACGGGTCTGTGGTAACTTGGGGATGCTCAGCCTCTGGAGGCGACAGCCGAGCTTGCGAATGGGGCTCACCAAAGAAGCCCAGCAAGCGGACTCCCAAAGCCAAGCCGGCGGCTAAGATTGCCCGCGCCAATGCCAAGTCGGTGTTGAAGAGGCCTTCCAAAAGAAGCAGGGTTTAGGGTTTAGGGTTTAGGGTTCAGGGTTTAGGGTTTAGGGTGCAAGGTTAAGGGCTGAGCCTTGAGGGTTTTGGGTTGGAGGCTTTTGAGGGTCTTGCAAAGGTTTGTTCGGTTGGCAGGACTAAACCCTAAACCCTAAACCCTAAGTCCTAAACCCTAAACCCTAAACCCTAAACCCTAAACCCTAAACCCTAAACCCTAAACCCTAAACCCTAAACCCTAAACCCTAAACCCTAAACCCTAAACCCTAAACCCTACCCCTAAACCCTAAACCCTAAACCCTAAACCCTAAACCCTAAACCCTAAACCCTAAACCCTAAACCCTAAACCCTAAACCCTAAACCCTAAACCCTAAACCCTAAACCCTAAACCCTAAACCCTAAACCCTAAACCCTACCCTAAAGCCTAAACCCTAAACCCTAAACCCTAAGTAGGGTTTAGGGTTTAGGGTTTAGGGTTTAGTGTTTAGGGTTTAGGGTTTAGGGTTTAGGGTTTAGGGTTTAGGGTACTCGATGGCGCACACGAACTGCCTAAGACCGAAATCTATACGAAGCTATTGAGAAGCAGTTTCATATCATGTTTGCTACAAACGCGAGGAGCTGCTCATAGGACAGTGTTGAAAAGGCTTCCCGGTTTAGGGGTTCGGGTTTTGGGGTTAGGGTTTGGGGTTTGGCGGGTAGGGTTTTTGGGGTTTGGGGTTTAGGTTCTTTGGGGGCTTAGGGTTTAGGGCTGTTTAGGGTTTAGGGTTGTTTAGGGTTGTTTGGGGTTTACGGTTTAGGGTTTAGAGCATATCGCAAAGACGGGGTAGGCCTTCATGTGTTCATTAGGTGATAGGGCCTGTGGAGAGGTGGTGAAGGAACTTCAATGAGTCTTTGGGAGGACAGGGTCTATCGGTTAGGGGTCAGGTTCTAGGGTCTAGGGCTTGGGGTTTAACCCTAGACCCGAAACCGTTTAGGGTTTGTGATCCTTTAAGGTCTCTGAAGACCTGTAGCAGTCTCAACAACAGGGGGTAAGGCTTGGGACTTGGGATTTAAGGCTTATAGATCCTTTTGGCCTGAACCCTACACCCTAAATCCTAAACCCTAAACTCTAAGCCCTAACCCTAAACCCTAAACCCTAAACCCTAAACCCTAAACCCTAAACCCTAAACCCTAAACCCTAAACCCGGGGTTAGAATCCCTCTTGAGTTGGGAAGCTGTGAGGAGCTGTTGGGATCCTTCTTGAAGGGCGCGGCCGACATGGTGGAGGACCGCGGAGAGGCAGGGTTTAGGGTTTGGGGTTTGGGGTTCAGGGTTATATAAGGGTTTAGGGTTTAGGGTTTGGGGTTTAGGGTTTAGGGTTTAGGGTTCAGGGTTTAGGGTTTAGGGTTTAGGGTTTGGGGTTGAGGGTTTAGGGTTTAGGGTTGAGAGGCTTCCTCCGGCTGCTTCGCAAGAGCCGAGAGGCAGATCGTGAGCTCTGTGACGGTGTCAGCGGCCAGACCAAAGCCGTCAAGCCCAGTCTTTTTGTCGGGGCTGATCAGGGTTTAGGGTTTAGGGTCTAGAATTAGGGTTTAGGGTTTAGGGAATGCCTTCTGGAACATCTGGAGTGGCTCCGGTGGCACGCCTGCCACGACATCCACACCTTCGGGCCCTGCGAAGCCCACAGAGGCGGAGTTGGTCGTGGAGAGGGTTTAGGGTTTAGGGTTTAGGGTTTAGGGTTCAGGGTTTAGGGTTTAGGGTTCAGGGTTTAGGGGTTAGGGTTTAGGGTGTACGGGGTAGGGCTCCTAAGTGCTTCTCTAGACATGTCAAAGCAGCAGGCTCTGCACGTACCCGTTAGGATGTCCCCTAAAGGTTCTCACGGTTTAGGGTTTAGGGTTTAGGGTTTAGGGTTTAGGGTTTCGGGTTTGAATATCCTAAAATTCCTTAGGAGATCTTGAAAAAGGGTCCCCAAACCCAAGGGAGCAACCTTAGCCAAGGTAGAAACCTATGAGCTTGGGGTTTACCCACCCACCGACTTTCGCACCCTCAATTATGCGGGTTTAGGGTTTGGGGTTTGGGGTTTGGGGTTTGGGGTTTAGGGTTTGGGGTTTGGGGTTTAGGGTTTAGGGTTTAGGGTGTCGCCATTACCATGCAGAGCCTTGGATTCATGCCACCCAAAGGGATTCTCACCTCAAGCCCTAAGCCCGAAAGCGTAAACCCTCAACTCTGTATAACCCTAAACCCTAAACCCTCAACCCTCAAACCCAAAGGCCTAACTGGCACATGCTAACCTCCAAACTCTTAAACCCCAGACGCCGAACCACAACTCTACCCCCTGAGCCCCGAGTTTTCCAGAGCGAAGCCCCAAGTCCGTTAGTTAAAGTACCCTAAACCCTAAACCCTAAACCCTAAACCCTAAACCCTAAACCCTAAACCCTAAACCCTAAACCCTAAACCCTAAACCCTAAACCCTAAACCCCACGAGACCTAAACCCTGAACTTCAAAGAGGTGGTGGTGTCCCTCCTCCGTGGCCAAGGCAATCGGGCTGCAAGGCTGCGGTGTTTGGGGTTTAGGGTTTAGGGTCTAGGGTTTAGGGTTTAGGGTTTAGGGCTTAGGGTTTAGGGTTTAGGGTTTAGAAGGAGTTTCCGCTTAGGGTTTGAGGTTTAGGGTTTCGGGAGGTTCTAGGTTTGGGGAAATAGGGTTCGAGGGCTTTCTTTCAAGCCCTGTCGACTTGGTATGTCTACTTAGTATCCCCTAGAAAGCCTATCATAATCCCCAGAACCCACCTTACTAACCCTACTTGCTAAGTCAAAAGGGCTTTCCAGTAGTAACCCTAAGCCCTTCGTAGCTGAATGAGCGCACTTTACATTTTTGGGGATACTGTAGTCCCCTATAGAAATGAAAGTGTGCATACACTTGGGGCTTATGAACACAGGAAGTTAAGGGACAAGGGGGTTCAGGGCTTGAGGTTCTGGAATTCGAGTCTGGGAGTTCGGGATTAATGAGGGCTCAAGGGCCCTCAAGGCTTAGGGTTTAGGGTTTAGGGTTGAGGGGCTGCACTCAGGCTTTCAAGGCAGAAGAGTATCCTTGTGCGTAGTCTTTCAGGGTTGCGTAGGTGCCATGAACCATTCGAGATCGCGAAGCCGCAAACTGTAGGGCTTGTAGGGCCTTGGGCTTCGCGGCAACACCTTTAAAGCCCTAAACCCTAAACCCTAAACCCTAAACCCTAAACCCTAAACCCCAAACCCTAAACCCCAAACCCTAAACCCCTAAACCCCTAACCCCTAAACCCCTAAACCCCTAAACCCCTAAACCCCTAAACCCCTAAACCCCTAAACCCCTAAACCCCTAAACCCTAAACCCCTAAACCCCTAAACCCCTAAACCCCTAAACCCCTAAACCCCTAAACCCCTAAACCCCTAAACCCCTAAACCCTAAACCCTAAACCCTAAACCCCAACTACCGCCTGCTCACAACAAGGCGGCCCAACTTGCTTGGTCCATATTTGTGTGGGGTTTGAGGCTTGGATCTGAGAGTTAGGGTTTAGGGTTTAGGGTTTAGGGTTTAGGGTTTTGGGTTTTGGGTTTAGGGTTTAGGGTTTAGGGTTTAGGGTTTAGGGTTTAGGGTGTAGGGTGTAGGGTTTAGGGTTTAGGGTTTAGGGTGTCGCCTAGAAGCCCTCTGATACTCCCGATAACCCGCTGTACTTACCCTAAACCCCAGCCCCGAAACCTCAAACCCTAAACCCCCAGCCCTGCTAAGTCAAAAGGGCTCGAAGTACCCTAGACCCCAGACCCTAGACCCTAAACCCTAAACCCTAAACCCTGAACCCTAAGCCCTAAACCCCAAACCCTACACAAAACCTAAACTTT